AAACAAAGAAAAAAAAAATAAAAAAAAAAAACAAAAACAAAAGTCAGCAGAAATGGGCCATCTCCACAGAGTCTTACATCTAATACAGACCCTCTGTCCCTTTGCCTTCGCCAATCTGGATATACTGAGTAAAGCAGATTACTCTATTATGTTTCTGATTGCGGAACTTATACGCGTGGCATCTTTTCACAGTGAGGAGATCGTCCCCTCGATATGTTCAAATAACAATAGCAGCAGCAGTGCTTATTGATTCTATACTCAACACTCTCACTCTACTCTTGTAAAATATAATATTCGACTTCTGATATTCTTATGTAGCTTGTAATTAGCCCTTTGACAGAAAAGAAAGAAATAATAAAAATGATAGAATCTGCGAATCAGATTTAGGTACGAAAAGAATTAATAGGGAGAGGGAGAGGGAGAGGGAGAGGGAGAGGGAGAGGGAGGGAGGGAGGGAGGGGTCTTCCATCTGCTGGTTCAGGTTGGAACCTGAACCTCCTCCCCACTTTGTAACTCTTTTAAATAAATAAATAACTTGAAAAAAATTTTGTTTCTTATAGGTGGTTCTGCTTTGCTTTGTTAAAGCTAGAGGAGCTGCAATTTGGTGTCTCTTGCCACACAAACCAAACAGAGCCAGATGCTCTGTCCCCAAGGAGAGATTGCCTTGGCAGAGTAACCAAGCCTTGGTACCTAGACTGGCCATTTTGTTAACCACAGTAAGATACCATGTCCTTCCTCCCTCAAGTTTCTAGGTCTAGTGACAAACTTCTGGTTTCAGAAAAGGATGGTAATTGTGACTAGTTCTTCATACATCTCCATCTTGCACTTGTCTCACAGGAAGGAGAGTCCCTTTCCATCCCCATCACTGTATTCAAACTTCCAATACAAAGAAAATGGGCAAGAAAAGAGCTAGAAAGTAAGGTCCACTCAAGGACTAAAGCTCTCAGCAATCTGTGGGTCCTCTGTGAAAGGCGATCCTTTGCCTCTTCCTCTCCTCCTCTTCCCCTGCATCTTCTACTCTTTCTGGAACCCTTGCACTATTACGGCAGTTGAACCACATGCACTCCTGAGTCCCCTTTCATCTGCAGGATCCTGCATTTCTTCTCTGTCCCCCAAAATGGTATGTCACATAGGGGAGCCTTCCTACTTAAAATGTCCCATCTCCCCTCTCCCCCTCCCAAAAACACAGCTAAAGCTCACCTATTTTTCCAAGTCCAACTCAGTTGTCACCTCTTCCATAAAAACTGCTTTGATGCCTAAAGCTAGAGGGGTCCCCTGTCTCTAACACCCACAGAACACCACCTATTCCTCTAGTACAGAAAACATCTCCATGTGCCTATTTTAGCTCACAATGTAGCTTCTGCATAAGTGTTGAGTGTCCTCCAAAAATGCTAGCCATCTTTTGGGAGCTTAAATATCAGGTAGGTACTAAGAGATGCTCTAGTTACATACTATGCTAGCCCTATCTTAAGTACAATTTATACTAAAGGTCCTAATTCTGAGTCACTTACCGCAAACATGCCATGCCATAGTCCAGCATCTTTCTTAAAGTCTAGAACATTTACTACTGTTTCTCCTACAATAGAGAAGAACATAAGGAAGTCATCTTTAGTGTTATATAGCAAAATCGTGTCACTTCCTCAACTAAACAATTGACTCGGTGCTTTTAGAGAAAGGACTGGAAGTTCCCGGGGTCTCTGGAAGCTGGAGGGTCTGATCATAGGGCAGTGTGGTCCCAGCTGCAGGACACTTTACTGCTTGGGCACTTGCCCCAGGAGGTTCTTTTTCCTAATTATATAATGACTCCTTGATTATTTTAGAACTTTGAAAATTCAAAAAAAAAAATCTATGTAAAAATTGTATTTCATAGATGAAATAAAAAACGTTGGTATCTTTATAACACATATACTTCTAGACATATTTACATATACACAGATTATATAAAGTAACAAAATTTGTATACACTGCCCTGTATCCTACTTTTTTCCATTTAATGATGTATTTTAAAAATTTCCCATATCTTTAATACTCAAGAACGTGAGTATTATGTCACAAGGTATAATCCATTATGCAAATATGTTGTAGCCTACTAAGTTCTTATTTTGATTGCTCCCATTGTTTTTTTTTTTAAAAACAGGTGAGAATGCTGCTCTATAATCAACACATATTAACCTGTTTTATTTTGCAAAAGGAAAATAAAACACTAAAGAAATTAATATTATAAAGATGATTGTGAGGTAAATAGTCATTTGTAGTATCTATCAACATAAAAAAGTTCAACAATAAAGAATATCACACCTTATGTTTTAATGTATGCTTTTTAGTAGTTTAATTAATTTGATCTCAAATGTATACCTCCTTATATATGGGAAAACAAAGACACCTGAGAATCCACAGATAATAAACACATGGTTTTCTATTTCTGTACTCTACAAACCACGCTTTATATACTCAGTTTGCCCAGAATCTTAATTCCTTTAAGTTAGAGCATATTTGTGAAAAAGAAAACAAAAGCAAGCAAAGAAATGTGTCTTAGAATATTTCACTCTGAATTTGGTCATTAAACAGAACTCAGTCACAGAGATCTGACGCTAACAGTGAGGGCAGTCACGGGACGAGGTCTGACCTTCAGAATAATTGCAGGCCTGTGACAAAGCTTGGCAGTGAGACAACATTGCAAGCCGGGACACTGTAACTCCCATTACACTCCCTTCTTTGCTGGTTTTATACTAGGAAAAACAACAACAACAAAAGCATTAAAACGCATTAAAATTGTCTATCTCAAATCACAAAATTAGAATCCCAAACCAAAACCCTGATAAGCCATTCTAACGGGCTGCATTTAACATGTTAAATATGAATATTTAAGACCACTCTGATCCCAAACTCTTCATTACACAAAGCCAGGACTCTGTGTGAAAGACTTAACGTCTGATTCATCATCGACGCGAAGGGACTGCTAAAAAGTGCGACTTGAGCTGCACTGATAGAAACACAGAACCAAGTACAACTGCCTGTTGGTACCACAGGGGACTGGTTCCACGGCACCCCCTGGATACCGAATCCACAGGTGTTCAAATCCCTGATATGAAATGGCACAGTGTCTGCATACAATCTGGGCCCTCTCCCCAGATGCTTCAAATCACCTCTACATGATTATAATACACTACATCAATGGTTGTGATACTGTATTGTTTAAGGAGTAATGACAAGATAAATAGTTCAATGCAGACAGAATTGTTTCCCCAAGTCTTTCCCATCCACAGTTGCTGAATCCCTGCTGCAGACCCCATAACTGCGCACATCGAGCATGGCACTGCGGGGATAAGGGTGTGTGACATGTGTTCCCATCTGTTGGAGTTGTCCAGTGTGGCAGGGCAGACCTAGAAAGCACTGGATTATAATTGGGGTTTTCCCTTGAATGTGCCACTCAAGTTGCTTCGAAAATGTATTTTGGTTTGTTTGAGAGACAGGGAAAGAGATTCCATCTGCTCATGGTCAGAGCAGAATTCTTGAGAGAGCAGACCAGGAAGCCAGTGACCAGAGGCTTAGGGAGCACAGGAGGACAGACTGACTCACCAGGGAGAGAGGTGTGGACTAAGTTGTGTATTTTACCTGGCTGTGTATTTGTCCTTTAAACATACTCCGATGTCATCTGTCATGAAACATAATCAGATCTCTGCCATCAATAAAAAAATCCTGCTTCTATCCAACACAGTCCCATCACCTACTGCCCACTATCTTCCTTTTCATAGTCAAAGCATTCAACGTTGGGTAATTTTCCCCACAAAATTTCTTTTGAAATTATTGATTGCTTATTCATTAATCTAGCAAAAGGCTTCTGTGCCTCTGTGTCAGGCAGGGTGCAGAGCTGTCAAGGGTGTAGCCTGCAGAGTCACATAGCCCTGTGCACCACCTCTGTCGCTTTACAGTCATGTGACCTTTGGCCAGTTACTCAAGTTCTCTGAAGTTTCTTTATATATGTAAAGCAGGTTTAATAAAAGTCTCAATCTCAATGGGTACTTGTGAACACTCAATGAGATAATGCATTTGAAGCTCTTATTTGGGTACCTAGTATGCAGTAGAACTTTTTTTTTTTTAAAGATTTATGTTATGGGAAGCCAGTGTTTTGGCACAGCAGGTGAAGCTGCTGCCTGTGACACTGGCATCCCACGTGGATGCTCGTTTGAGATCCAGCTCCCTCCTAATGCACTGGGGAAAGCAGTGGAAGATGCCAAGGTTCTTGAGCCCCTGCCCTCATGTGGGATATCCAGAGGAAGCTCCTGGCTATTGGCTTCCATCTGGCCCAACCTTGACTGTTGTGGCCATCTAGGGAGAGAAGCAGCGGATGGAAGAACTCTCTCTCTCTCTTTCTCCCTCTTTCTCCGTAACTCTGCCTTGCAAATAAATTAATAAATCTTTTAAAAAGAAGATATATTTATTTATTTTAAAGGTAGAGTTACAGAGAAAGGGAAAGACAAAGATCTTGCACCTGCTGGTTCACTCCCTAGATAGCCACAATGGCATGGGTTGAGCCAGGTTGAAGCTGGGAGTCCAGAACTCCATCTGGTTCTCCTATTTGGGTGTGGCAGGAGTCCAAATATTTGGACCATCTTCCGCTGTTTTCCGAGGCACGTTAGCAGGAAGCTGGACTGGAAGTGAAACAGCCGAGACTCAGTTCGGCACCCATACATCCTGTGCCAGGAGGCCAGCCCCACAGCAGGACTTAATCCCTCAAGTGGATCACGCTGCCGATTGCTTAAGTTCATATATTAACTTTCAATACCAAATCCTCTAGTCATTTGTTTCTTCTTGTTCTTTATCTTTCATCTGCTGAATCTGTTCCTTCCAAGCACAGCTTTTTTGCCCCATCTCATCACTGTCTTTCTCCCAACGCCTCTAAACTGGGGAAAAATTATTTCGTAAACCTTTGTACTTCTTTACAGTCTTCACGTGACTTTTTCACATGAAGGATTAATTTGTTTACAGTCTCTTGTTTTTGCTTTCTAAAATTTTATTTTTGCTCATTTGAAAGGCAGGCAGATAAGCAGACACAAACGCACACATGCACCCCTCGCTCCTCCCCACACAAAGAAAGTCTTCCAACACTGGATCACTCCTCAAATACACACAACAGCTGGCGCTGAGTCAGGCAAAAGCCAGGAGTCCAGAACTCAACCTTGATCTCTCACAGGACAGGGACCCAAGTACTTGACTCATCATCTGCTGCCTCCCAGATAAACACCAGAAGGAAGCAGAGTTGGGACTTGCAACGAGGCAGCTTGACATGGGATGCGGTGTCCCAAGCACTGTTTTGTAATCATGAATCAATGTCTACCTCTGCTTTCTCCTGAATGTGTATTTATGATAAAAGTAACTAGAAGGGGCCACTGCGAAGTGTTTTACAAGCCCAAAGATGGAAATGTCACAAAGCAGGAAGGCCTTCCAACACCAGAACTCCAGAGCTGCAAAAAGTTAGTTTCAATTTTGTTAAGACAGCAACTAATGCCAAAGAAAAAGCAAGAAGTCATGTTCTAAAGCCCGGGACTTACCTCAATGTATGCTGGTTCTGTACCAGCAGGTGATATGTGGGGCTGCCAATCCTTAGGTGGCTTTGAAAGGTACTTGGAATCTGTTACAACCCATTTGAGCCGGGGCCAACCTAAATCAAAGCCAAAGTAAAAACTGAATTGCCTAAGCTATCATGAAAGGAGTTTACACTCAACTTGTCATTTTCAATATCAAAAGACTAAATCAAAGTCATTTTATAATGAATAAAATACTGTATTTTATTAGCTTTTAGTGAAGCACTACCAGACAATTATGCCTTTCGTCAAAAGCACAACTGTTCCACACGCTAGTTCCAGGTCTAGCCTCTGTCTCTACATGTGGCACTTAGCGCTAATGTACAGAGTGCAGCTCTTTCCATCCAGCAGCATAAGGGTTAAGGACAGAGCTGGGTTCAGATCGCTGCTCTGCCATATTAGCTGGGACACATCCTCTCTGTCTCAGCTTCCTCACCTGTAAAACGGGGTAATAATGGTGCCTATGTGATAACACTGTGAGAATTAAATAAAAACATATGTGACATGCTTTGCTATTGTAAATTAAAATGCTAACTAAAGGACTCAGCACTGGTAATTCAGGAATAAATGACACTGACCTTTAAACTGTACAATTTCTCCATTCTGGGTTTTTGGCAGCCCTTTCAGACAGACTTCGCTGGTAAGAGCTAAGGCAATACCACAGCTTCCTAGCAAGAAGCCAATCTGCTGACCTCCGGCATCCTATGGAGAGAAGATAATGAGCAGGGTAGGGGAGCGAGCACGAGCACCCCCTGCCTCAGACCTGACGCTGACTCTGGCACTCGTGAGTAACATTCGTGAAGCCCCACCGGTATCTGGCAATTGTCAAAATCCAGGGACGGTATGTTCTTCCAAATACTTTCTATAATAAATGATTTCCGTGTACAAACCAGGTATTTTATCAGCCTGTCATGGCTAATGGTAAATCCTATCAACCAAATGTGACAGTTTTATTCAAGAGTCAGCAATGAGTCTCTTTCAGATTAGTTTCAGGAAACAAATAAACATTGATATGATCAAACTGTCTCACTCTAAGCCCCACCCTCAAGTAAAATAGTAAAGCAATTCAGGTCACAACTAAATGACATAAACAGATACAAAATGTCCAAATTTATATGAAAAGTCAATGCATAGTTTATCCTAAACCCATATACTCTTTTTATTTTTCTATTTTAAAGGAGGTAGATTTGAGGTCTAAAAAGCAGCAATAAAAACAACATTAAAAAGCAAAAGATACAATCTAAAATAGTACCATTAAAATGTCACCTTAAAAGCATAACTATGAAGCCATACCAACCCTGCCATGTTAAGAGTTTATGTAAGATGCTACATCCAATGAACTAGAGTTTCAGGGATGCTACCAATTTATTTGGTTGAGGTTTTTTTTTTTTTTTTTTTTTGGTTTGGTTTGAGATAGACAGATATTGTTTATTTATTTATCTGAGAGAGTTCTTCCATCTACTGATTCACTCCCAAATGGTCCCAACAGCCAGGGCTGGTCCAGGCTCAAGCCAGGAGCCTGGGACTCCATGCGGGTCTCCACATGGGTTTTGGAGGCCCAATTACTAGGGCCATATTCTGCTTCCTTCCCAGATGCATCAGCAGGAAGCTGTTCAGAAGTGGAGTATCAGGACTCAAAACCAGCACTCTGACACAGGAAGACATCATCACAAGCAGCAGATTAACCTGCTGTGCCACAACACTGGCCCCCACCAATTAATTAATTACTTTCTTTCTTTCTTTCTCTCTTTCTCTCTCTTCCTTCCTTCCTTCCTTCCTTCCTTCCTTCCTTCCTTCCTTCCTTCCTTCCTTCCTTCCTTCCTTTCTTTCTCTCTCTCTCTTTCTCTCTCTCTCTCTTTCTTTCTTTGGACAGGTGGAGTGGGCAGTGAGAGAGACAGAGAGAAAGGTCTTCCTTTGCTGTTGGTTAACTTTCCAATGGCCGCCGCGGCCGGCGCACCACGCTGATCCGATGGCAGGAGCCAGGTACTTATCCTGGTCTCCTATGGGGTGCAGGGCCCAAGCACTTGGGCCATCCTCCACTGCACTCCCGGGCCACAGCAGAGAGCTGGCCTGGAAGAGGGGCAACCAGGACAGAATCCAGCGCCCTGACCAGGACTAAAACCCGGTGTGCTGGCGCCGCAAGGTGGAGGATTAGCCTAGTGAGCCACGGTGCCGGCTGATGTCTTTCTGATTCTTCTCAGAAAATAATTTCTTACAAATCCATATTCTCCACCAAAAATTCACCTTTGACACCAACTCTCAGTAATAAACTGTAAGAGAAAAATAGCGGGGTCACACAGCACCTCCGGAGAGAATCCTTCAAACACCAAGGGAATTTTCTACATGGGGCCCCGTTTCAAAGGGGGTGATATGTTTTCCAAAAATCTATAGTAGTGGGGCTGGTGCTGTGGTGTAGCAGGTAAAAGACCCCCCCCTGCGATGCCACCATTCCCCTATGGGGCGCCCAGTTTGAAGTCCCAACTCCCTCCCCTTCCCGATCCCAGCTCCTTTCTTAATGTGTCCCCGGGAAAGCAGCACAGGATGGCCCATGTGCTAGGGGCCCTGCACCCATATGCAGACCTGGAAGAAGCTCCTGGCTCTTGGCTTTGGCCTGTCCCTGCCCTGGCCATTGTGGCCGTTTGGGAAGTGAACCAGCGGAGAGAAGATCTGTCTTTCTCTCTCTCTGTAACTCTGCCTTTCAAATAAAGATTCCCTATCATTAAGAGCAGGAAACTAAAATAGAAGAGGGCTGGCGCCGCGGCTCACTTGGTTAATCCTCTGCCTGCGGCACCCGAATCCCATATGGGTGCCGGTTCTAGTTCCGGTTGCTCCTCTTCCAATCCAGCTCTCTGCTGTGGCCCGGGAGGGCAGTGGAGGATGGCCCAAGTGCTTCGGCCCCTGCACCCACATGGGAAACCAGGAAGAAGCTCCTGGCTCCTGGCTTTGGATTGGTGCAACGCTGGCCGTGTCGGCCATTTGGGTAGTGAACCAATGAAAGGAAGACCTTTCTCTCTGTCTCTCTCACTGTCTATAACTCTACTTGTCAAATAAATAAATAAAAAGAAGAAGAACAAAAAGGAGAAGAAGAGGAAGAGCTGGGACCCAAACCCAGGCACTCTAATATGGGATGCAAGTATAGCAAATGGCGTCCTGACCACTGCCAAATGACCACCCAAAATGATATACAATACTACAAAAAATTCTAACTACACTAAAAACACATTATTTGCATGCCACTAGGAGATTCTAGTAAATAATTTTTATAAGCCTTTCGTATGTTTAGAAAGTGAAGCTGAGTACTTCAGAAAATGGTCAGACTGTTCTGATGTCATGATTGAGTTGACTGATCCAACAAGAACCCATGCCTGCTACACTACATCAGGTTACATTCCTGTTAAACTTAGCAGTGTTACCTTTCTGGTAAGAGGTACCTCTATAGGCACTGGAATCACTTCAGCCAAGAGACAGCCATAAAAAGCCACCATAAACATGACTGGATCATTGTTGGGGTAAACCAGGGCTACCTAAAATTCATAATGACATTCAATAACAGGAAGAACATGATTAGCTCTTTCAGTGTTAGTAAGATATATAGTATTTGTCATGTCCAACAGTAAGTCAAACCAGTCAATAACCATTTGTTCAAAAGGACTCACACATCTAGCAAAGAGCTCCATCACTCTCATGATTACAGTACACATTTGGGGAGGTACATGCAACTCTTTCTCATTATCCTTAGAGTTTTTCACTTAATTCTATTGATGATTTAGCAGTTAACTCATCTTAAGTGGTACCTACTTTTGAAATCTAAGGCAATTTACTTTAGTGCAGGGTTAAAGCAATATCATCAATGTTAATAGGTCTCTCTGGACAGACTAGCATATGAAAGATAAGCCCGAGGTCTCTGAGAGCGCCTACAGATGCTGACTGACTTGACTACTGCCATAGGGCCATAGTAAGGTTTCCTACTGTTCAACTAATTCATGGTACTCACTCAACAACCCAAGTGTTCTAGTATGAAGGCACTGCTAACAGACTTAACACTGGCAGGAACCAGTATGAATATGAAGTTAATTCACCAGCAACAGATAAACAGCAGAACCTCCATGGTATGTTCAAACCTATGAACTTATCTACCACGCATGCATCACGGGGAAAACCGATCCAAAAATCACAGAAATCACCATTGCAGAGTTGGTGACTGGGATAGTCACAGATTAACATCTGTCTCACCAGACTCTTCTTTTCCCTTCTTTTGCTTGCAAGTTTTCTTAACTCACTCCCAAGATAAGTTCAATTCTGAATCTTAGTAAAACTTCTACAGTTAAAATATTAACTCCACTTAACAACCCATTTCCTTCTGTTCACCAGTGTCTCTGCTGCTAAGTAGTCCCTGAAGTGTTCAGTGAGACAAAGAAAATAGTCGTGTGTCACACTTAAAAAGCCACACTTAAGCTCTGTGCGGCAATGCAAAGAGGTTCTAAGAGGCTGGCTTAGGAGAATCTACAGTCATGAGTCCACCAAAAAGAAAGCCATTGTACAGCTGGTATCTTGTTCTACATATGCGAAATTAAAAAAGGTTCCATGAGGCATTCTGTAAGGGAAGAAAATCAGAGTTGTATTGTAATTCTTGATGTTTAAATATAAAACACTTATTTCCAGAAAGACTTTGCTTTCTCTTTTTGTTAGCACTTCAGGAGTGTACGGAAGAGCAGCTCAAGAAAGGGCCGTGTGAACGGCCCTCAGTCTGTGCATGTAAAAACCATCCACCTAGCAGTGGGCTGACCTGGGTTGGAACCAAGAATAAGAGTTAATACAAATCTCCTGTTGTACATCAAAACTCCAAAATGTACATAATAGACAATTACCCTGTCTCCAGGTTTTAACACAGGTTCATTTTTGGTGCCCAATTTATTAAGCAGAGTATAGGCCAACTTGAGACTTCTGCTCCACAACTTTCCTGGAAAAAGAAAACAGTCACATAAAAAATTTATGCCTATCTCAGCGAGACAGCATTTAGTTCATCAGCAAATTTAAGACAATGGCCAATTCCCAAAGCTGCATCAGATGAGCAGTCCCCCACCCCCACAAAGCTTTATATCCATTCTAGCTACAAAAGCCTGTTCTGTCTTGCAACAAAAACAAATCATCACCAGATGTTTGTCCTAGCTTGTACAACATTTCAAGTTCTTTTCTGAAATAATCTGAATATCCCTAGAAATAATTTTTTTTTTTTTTTTTTTTGACAGGCAGAGTGGACAGTGAGAGAGAGAGACACAGAGAAAGGTCTACTTTTGCCATTGGTTCACCCTCCAATGGCCGCCGCGGCCGGCGCGCTGCGGCCGGTGCACCGCGCTGATCCGATGGCAGGAGCCAGGAGCCAGGTGCTTTTCCTGGTCTCCCATGGGGTGCAGGGCCCAAGCACCTGGGCCATCCTCCACTGCACTCCCTGGCCACAGCAGAGGGCTGGCCTGGAAGAGGGGCAACCAGGACAGAATCCGGCGCCCCGACCGGGACTAGAACCCGGTGTGCCGGCGCCGCTAGGCGGAGGATTAGCCTAGTGAGCTGCGGCGCCGGCCCCCTAGAAATAATTTGATATGAGCTGATCACACTTATTTAAAGATTGATTTGAAAGGCAGAGCCAGAGCCAGAGAGAGAGAGAGAGAGAGAGAGAGAGAGAGAGATTGATTGGGGGAGAGATTGGGGGAGAGGAAGAGGGGTAGGGGCAGAGGGAGAGAGAGAGAGACATCCCTCTCTGAATAGATGGATAAATATATAGATACGTATGTACATATATAAATTTCTCATGGTTCACTATTTCTCAAAATACATAACATGTTTCAATTTTTAAATAAAACTAATTTTCACCATACAACTTTAATACTGACCAAAATTTTTTCCTTTTTTTTTTAAGATTTACTTGTTATTTACTTGGAAGGCAGAGTTAGAGAGAGAGGAGAGACAGAGAGAGAGATCGTCCATCTGTTGGTTTACTCCTCAAACATCCACAATGGTCACCAGGAGCCAGGAGCTTCTTCCGGGTCTCCCACATGAGTGCAGGGGCCCAAGCACTTGGGCCATCTTCTGCTACTTTCCCAGGCACATTAGCAGGGAGCTGGATAGCAAGTGGAGCAGCCAGGACCCGAACCTGTACCCATACTGGATGCCAGCACCACAGGCACTAGTTTAACCTGCTAGGTCCCCACAATGCCAGCCCCCAAATGTTTTTCTAAAATCCTCTCCTAACATTAAAATGTTAATAGATCTACAAAATCGCTCTCCTTTTGGCTCTACCCAGTATCAGCTGGCTTGCAAATGTCACTTTAGCAAATAAAAATACTTGGCAACAGCTTTACTTAGAACCTAGGATCCCATTAAATAACTGAAAAGTTCTATGGGAACATGATGCCAAGAGGCTGCCCAACACCAGGATAAAGACACCACCCATGACATTCTGAAGAACTCCCGTGGAGGAGGAAGGATCTGGACCACTGTAAACTCACCGTAGGTCAGAGTGTACACGGGCTTGCCTGTCACGTCCAGCGCAGTCAGACAGGAGCACTTGGCCTGCGTGGTGCCCCAGCGCTGCAGGGCAGACTCCAGGGCAGGTGGCCAGTTGCAGATGACTCCCAGGGGCTCTCCCTTCACAGGCGTCATCTGCCGCCCCTCGGGCTTGGGCTGGTTGGGGTCTGGCTGAGGTACTGTACCAAAAAACAAGAAATAAGATGGAATAAGGACAAACACCAGGTAACACAACTCAGGGCCTCCATTCCCAACTAGATCTCCTTTTCCTCTTCATCTTTTTCTCATGTAAACTCACTTTGAGAAAAGCAAAGTACATGTTAGAAAGGGAAATCCATAAACTTGGCCTCATTTAATTGCCTATCTGACTGTAAAATCACATTCAGCATGCTGAACCCAACAAGCAAATCCCAACGCCGATGAAGACAATCCCTGTCCATGTACAAAACCACAAAGGACAAATTTCTTTCTAGCCATGTCATCAACTGTAGTAAACTTATTTAGATACATAGGCAAACTGATTCACCTGAACCTCCCTTGCCTCCTCTGTAAGATGGGAATGATACCAGCTACACTGCAGGGTCATTATCATGACATTCCCAGTATCCGCAGCTTGGTGACCTCTCAGACAGCTGACCCCTTTGCTTCCTGGCAGGCTCCTACTTCACCTTTCCTAGGACTCACCGCCAATGGCACATTCTTGGCAAACCACTCCCAACTATTCTGTGAGAAGTCTCCTCCTTCCGAGGGCTCCCCCAGCATGTGGCAGTCTACACTTAGCAAAGCTCTGAGGCTCCTGCATGGCTTGTCACTCTGTGGGCTCCCTCTCACACCACTGCCCCAAGAGGCTTCGAGCTTCCTCAGAGAAGGGGGAGTCTTGTTCCCCTAATGCCTACAGTGCCTACTGCATACAGATTGCTCAACAGTGTTAGTTGAATTAAACTAAATTTTGGGGAAAAACTGCTAGATTATTAACATCATTCCAAGAATCAGAGGTGGGTCATATTTCATATTCTTTCCTACAGATAAAACTAAGTCCTGGGGCCGTGCTGTGCCAGCATCCCATATGGACAGTGAAAGATGGTCCAAGGGCTTGGGCCCCTGCACCCACATGGGAGATCCAGAAGAAACTCCTGGCTTCAGGTGGGCCCAGCTCCGGCTGTTGCAGCCATTTAGGGAGTGAACTAGCAGATGGAAGATTCACTCTGTCTCTCTCTCTGCCTCTCTGTAACTCTGCCTTTCAAATACAAATACATACATACATACATAAAGTCCTTCGTAGCTTCATCTCAGCCCAGTGCAGCTGTTGAGGGCATCCGGGGAGTGAACCAGTGGACAATAGGTCTTGATCTCTCTCTCTCTCTCTAATTGTCTTTCATATAAAATAGATCTTAACACAGATCAAAACACTAAAATCTTTTTAATTTTTCTACAATGAACTACATTGAATGTTTATTAAAATAATAAAAAAGCAAAAATATTTCTATTTTCATGGCAGGAAAGGTAATTTACACATGAAAATGTCAAGTATTTACTGAGTGCCAATTATGTGCAAGGGTGTGAAAAACACTGAGAAAATAAGTGCTGCTCATATTCTTTGAACAAACATTTATCATGTGCCTAATAAGTGCCTAATTATGCAAAGAATGCAGAGTCCCAGCCCTCAAGGAATATGAGGGCAATGAGGGGTGGGGACAGGGGGTGGAGAGAGGCACACACACACACACACACACACACACACTCTCTCTCTCTCTCTCTCACTCAGAACCAAGGCCAGGATCACATGGGCTTATTCCTTTCCATAAAAGCTTTTGATAGGGGCTGGTGCTGTGGCACAGTGGTGCGGGTACGAGTCCCAGCTGCTCTACTTCATTCCAATCTGGCTCCCTGCTAACAGGCCTGGGACTATGGTCCAAGTCCTTGGGTCCCTGCATCCACATGGGAGACCTGGAGGAAGCTCCTGGATCCTGGCTTTGGCCTGGCCCAGCCTCAGCTTTTGTGGCCATTTGGGGAGTGAATCAGTGGATGAAGATCTTTCTCTGGCTGTGCCTTTCAAATACATAAAATAAAAATCTTAAAATAACTAACTAGCTAAATAAAAGCCTCCGTTAGGGGCTTGCATTATGATGAACAGGTTAAGCCATCACCTACAACACTGGCATCCTATGAATGCTGGTTCCTACTGTTCCACTTCCGATCCAGTTCCCTGCTAGTGTGCCTGGGAAGGCAGCAGAAAATGGCCCAAATGCTTGGGCTCCTGCTACTCACGTCAGAGACTTGGATGGAATTCCAGGCTCCTGGCTTTGGCCTGGCCAGCCCCAGCCATTGAAGCCATCTGGGGAGTGAAACAGTTGATGTAAGATTGGTCTCTCAGCCGGCGCCGCGGCTCAATATGCTAATCCTCTGCCTTGCGGTGCCAGCACACCGGGTTCTAGTCCCAGTTGGGGCACCAGATTCTTTCCCAGTTGCCCCTCTTCCAGGCCAGCTCTCTGCTGTGGCCCGGGAGTGCAGTGGAGGATGGCCCAAGTGCTTGGGCCCTGCACCCGCATGGGAGACCAGGAGAGGCACCTGGCTCCTGCCATTGGATCAGTGCGGTGCGCCGGCTGTGGCGGCCATTGGAGGATGAACCAATGGCAAAAGGAAGACCTTTCTCTGTCTCTCTCACTGTCCACTCTGCCTGTCCAAAAAAAAAAAAAAAAAAAAAAATTGGTCTCTCCCTGTAACTCTACCTTTCAAATCAATAAATACATCTTGGTGGTGGTGGGGAGCTTCTTTTTTTTTTATTTTATTATATCTTTTTTTTTTTTTTTTTTTTTTGACAGGCAGAGTGGACAGTGAGAGAGAGACAGGGAGAAAGGTCTTCCTTTACTATTGGTTCACCCTCCAATGGCCACTGTGGCCAGTGCACTGTGCTGATCTGAAGCTAGGAGCCAGGTACTTCTTCTCCTGGTCTCCCATGCGGGTGCAGGGCCCAAGCACTTGGGCCATCCTCCACTGCCTTCCTGGGCCACAGCAGAGAGCTGGACTGGAAGAGGAGCAGCCGGGACAGAATCCGGCACCCCAACCGGGACTAGACCCGGGGTACTGGCACCACAGGCGGAGGATTAGTCAAGTGAGCCACGGTGCCAGCCTCCCCTATTAAATTCTGAAAATCATGACTTCATCCATAAATTTTAAAAAACAATTGAATTAATCAATTGCTGCCTAAATCACTTCCTCTGTGAAGCCTTCTGTAACTATAAAGACGAAACTAATTTCTTCCCTTCTTTAAGTTGCCTGTAGCTGCTAAAACATACTGGATAACTATGCTTCCATCCACAGCAGAGTACTCAAAAAAGTCTGTAGAGAAGTGAAATGAAGGGCCGGCACTGCAGTGTAGTGGCTGAAGCTGCTGCTTTTGACGCTGCCATCCCATGTCAGAGTGGCTCTTTGAGCACTGGCTGCTCTGTACCTGATGTGACTGCTTGCTAATGCAACTGAAAGGGACAGCAGAAGATCTTAGAAATAGGAGGAGGTGGAGGAGGAGAGGGAAAGGAAGAGAGGGGAAGAGAGGAAAAGGAAGAAGACAAATGGAATTAAGATTTAGAAATCCAAAACATTTTTCATGAATTTTTGGAAGATGGTGTTATGCATGGATTTCAGAGATTCCTTTTTGTACCAAAATAAACTTCTTTTAATTTCACTTTACATAATATTTTTGAAAAAAAAAAAAAAAAACTTATTTGAAACTTTTGAAAAAATCTTATTTGAAAGGCAAAGAGACACAAAGAAACAGAGAGAAAGCTCTCGTACATTGGTTCACTTCCCAAATGCCTACAACATCCAATACTAGGCTAAGCTGAAGGCAGGAGCTAGGAACTCCATCTAGGTCACCCACGTGGATAGCAGGAACCCAATTATTTCAGCCATCACTGCTGCCTCCCAGGGTGCAACAGCAGGATGCTGGAGTCAGGACTCAACGCAAGTACTCCAATACGGCATGCAGGCAATGGAACAGCTAAGGAAAATGGTCACCTCTCCAGAAACTTTTTAGAGTACCCTTGTATATATTTTAGTATTGATCTAACCTGTAAATAGCATGAAGGAAGCAACTACATTTTAGTAAATCTTTGAATCTCAGCATCTACCACACTTTATTTTATTTATTTGAAAGGTAGTTAGAGAGAGAGAGAGAGAGAGAGAGAGAAAGTCTTCCATCTGTTGGTTCACCCCCTGAACGGCCACCACAGCTGGAGATGGGCTGGTCCAAAGCCAGGAGCCAAAAGATTCTTCTGGGTCTCCCAGGTGGGTGGAGGGACCTAAGCACTTAAGCCATCTTCTGCTCCTTTCCAAGGTGTATCAGCAAGGAGCTGGTTTGGAAATAGAGCACCTGGGACTCAAATGGGCGCCCATATGGGATGCTGGCGTTGCAGTTGGTGGCTTAACCCACGACACCACAGTGCCAGCCTCCACCCCCTACACTGTCTTACAGAGGGCAAACATATATGTGTTGCTTCACTGGTTTAATGAAAGGACTATGTTATATGAAAAAAAGGACTGGGCAAGCTTTTGAGGTCAAACTTGATATACATAGCCTAGAAAAATGCCAAATATAAGCAACTTTATTTTTAAAAAGACCACCATTCTTCTGATGGATTTATTTATATATTTGAAAGGCAAGGCAAAGGAGGGAAGAGATACAAAAAGAAAGAGACGTGAGAGCAAGAGAGAGACACCTTTCACCTGCTGGTTCACTCCCCAAATGCCCACAACAGGCACCTGTGGGGCAGACAGAAGCCAGGAACCAGGAGCTCCACCCTGATCTCCCACATGGGTAGAAGGGGCCCGGAGTACCAGGGCTGTCTTCTGCTGCCATCTTAGGCCATCAGCAGGAAACTTCTGATGATGAGATGCTCGTGTCACAAGTATGGCTGGGCCACAATGTCGACCCCTATAAATAACTTTTAAAAGTTAAGTTGGGGCCAGCGCTGTGGCACAGCGGGTTAAGGCCCTGGCATCCCATATGGGCGCCGGTTCCAGTCCCAGCTGCTCCTCTTCCAATCCAGCTCTCTGCTATGGCCTGGGAAAGCAATGGAAGATGGCCCAAGTCCTTGGGCCCCTGTACCTGCATGGGAGACCCGGAGGAAGCTCCTGGATCCTGGTTTCAGATCGGCACAGCTCTGACTGTGGCAGCCATCTGGGGAGTGAACTAGCAGATGGAAGATCTCTCTCTGTCTCTAGCTCTCTCTGTAACTTTTTCAAATACATAAAATAAACCTTTTTTTTTTTTAAAGTTAAGTAGTTGGGATAGTCTTTAAACTCTAAGAGTACATTTCTAAGATAGTTCCATGAGGCATAATTCTCTCTTTTTCTTTTCGTGCTTGCCTCTGTACCTTTCAACTGAGATCTAAAATATAAATAATTCTTCGCAGGAAAAAAGGCAGAGAACTTTTTGACTTCTGTGAACTAAGAACTATATTTTGCCACTCTTTAACCCTACCTGATATGCAGTAATTAGTTAAGAAATATTTATTTAATATATGATTTTGGCATTTTTACTGCTACCTTCCACAATTTCTTCAGAATCATCCACAAAAAATTCCTTTAAGGGAGGTCTTTTGGGTCGTTTCAGAGTATTGAGAAGCTGCTGGATTTTTGTGGATACTCGACTATTGACAGGAACACCTATAAGGGAAAAAAACGCTGTTAAAATTCACTGACTTCAAGAATATTTCAATTCCTCAATTTACTCAGGAGTTTTTATTTCTAATGCTGTTTGGCCTCTGACCATACCCTCCTGCTACTCCAGATGGGACAATTAGGTGATAAATTGCATGATAACAGAGCACAAACAAGTTAACACACTAGGTAAGGACTTCCCCTGATCTCCCTCTTCTCTTAGAGTGCTTTCTTTGGCCACCTCTGGCTTTTGGTTCAAGGTATCTTTGGGAAGTGCTACATGTGAACAAATGTCAGCGCTGTCACTGTGGACAAGGGAAGGGGGCACTCAGGAAGACTCGTCAGTGAGCCAAATGCAACGTGGCTCTGCAGCTACCACACAGGCCGGTTAGGAGCTGCTGCTGACACCGTGAGCTGTCCCAGTTTCACTTATACTCCACTCCCTCATCAGCCATCAAAAAGATTCCCTACCATCAGCTGTATCCATAAGGCTGGACCTGTTGGCTCCTTTGTGCATGCCTTTCACTATCCCCGAGGGGGGCAGGTCAATATTTGCTGGTCGTGTGGAGGAAGATGAGGAGGAGGAAGAGGTAGTTGTGGTGACATCAGGGGGAGCAGAGAAATTCTCTGAGAGGGGAAAACAATTTAGAAATATATTACATAGCAGCAAAAACAAGAGACTTTAAATTCTTCTTCTTCTTTTTTTTAATCGTAGACAGAAACAGAAATAGGGCATTAGATCTTATAAAACAATATTTTAAATCAATTTACCCTGGTAGATCAATGGGAGAATAGGTGGTTAAGCCAGGGCATATCAGCTTTCCAAAATTATTATTTTTAAGACTTGGATAACCTCAATAAGATCAAATCACATATCCAATGTTTCTCAAAAACAGTATTTTCTACACAGAAACCCCAATGCTATAAAAATCATCATAATAAAATTTGCAAGTGACTTCGACATAGAGCCAAAGTGAGAAAGAGCATAAGTGGCTACTGATATCCTAGGCTCCTAAAAATTTCTTTATGATTATGGTTTATTCTCTTCTACTAAAAACCAAAATAGAGTCTTGGGAGCAGATTAGACCATTTAAGTTTCCAAGTGAAGAAAAACCAGATAAGTCTATTTTAATTTTTACAAGAAAACATCCTAAAGAGATAATCAGAGAAATGAACAAAGTTGTATGTTTAATCTTGCTCACTCCCTCAGTTTTTATGGTAGCAAAGAGTTGGACAGTACTTAAGTGTCCAAAAATAGAGGAATGGCTAACTAACCCTGGGCCTAGTCAGGCAATGGCATACCTTGAAATCATAAAAATAACACTGTGAACATAATAACAATGATATAAAAGATGCTCCTGACACACTGCTAAGAAAGCAGCTTATGAACATTATGTTTAGGACAATTTCATTTTCAGAAAATCAAAACCAAAACCCAAAATCTAGAAGAAAGTGGTAACACTAAAGTATTATATATGTGATGTGGGATTACAGATTATCCTATGTGTCTTTTACCTGCATTTTTGAATTTTTCTATCAGGAACATGGATTATTTCTGTCATAGCAAACATCCAAAAAGCAATAATGTTGCATAAAATGGTTATCTGTCACTAACTGAATCAATAACGTCTCACTGAGTAGTAGAAGCAATAGACAAATAGTGGTCAGATGAAACCTTAACAAAAAACCAGATTATTTGGGCATTAGCACAAAATATGTTACAAGTGAAATTGCCCCCAGTAGACAAATGTGGAGATAGGCATTCACCCAGCATGGCTCTTTGGCAGACCCTCCACAGAAGAGGGGTGAACACACACACGTGCCTGGAGTGGCTGAGGAGGCTCCATGAGGGCCCGGGCAGAGCCAAGAGCGCATGCTAAACCACTAACTGAAGGCACCCGGCTTCTCAGTGTGGGCATAGACACCCTCAGGATGGCTTACTTTCCTGAAAAAGTCCAGCCTCCAATGGAAGACTTTCCAAGATTTTCTTTGCAAAAATCAATTAAGAAAATAAATGCAAAAGGTGACAGAAGTCAGAGATGAAAATTAAGACAGCAAAACACAATTGACTGTTGAGGGGAAAAAGGGAGATACATAACATACATAAAATGCTGAGCTACATTACTTAATGTAATTTGTACCAAACAATTAAATGAAAGCACAGATCCAAGCTACATCTTTATCTACAGATGTCACAACTCCTTAAAATACACACACACACACACACACACACACACGTAAAGCACAGGCAAGCAAAAGCTAAACTGCACAGAGCAGCAGCAACAGCAGCAGGTGGCAGCTCATGGGGCACCAACATCCTCAGGCAACACACTCCAGTTGCAGCAATACCTCAGCAGCAAGGACAATAAACCCAGTCTTTATACGAAGACAAAAGAGCCTCACTGATACTGGCTTAGTGTAAAATTTGGCTGCGTGGAATGCTTTTTTGTTTGACAGGATGTAGACGATAATCCTGGGATAATCTATGAGATGATATATTTTAACACTCTTAAATCTATGTACTAGTCCTCAAAGGGGATAGCACCACATTATGACTGGTATTATACCTTGCAGCTTGAGTATTGCTGATGGAAACAGCTATGGCTTCAGGTGGGCAGCACGGTGCACCGATAATGCAGATGGTGCCTATCATTCCAGTAACAAATGTATTGCTGGTGTTTCCTTCTTTGCCTCATTGACTGTCAGGTTCTGATTATAATTTTTCAATCATACTGAAAAACCTAATACAAATTATAGACTATTTCCTGGACACCGGGAGCCAAATGGAACATAATTTGGGCTTCTTGGGTAGATCCAGCTCCTACCTATTCGAGTATTGGCAAATACATCAGCTAGAGACCCAGTGGTTCCTTTGACCTCTCCATGGGACAGCGTGGAAGATGCAGATGAAGAAGTGGACGATCCCTGAATTGAACGGTTGATCCAGGACTCGGCATTCTGTAAGCTCTGTTGCAAGGCAGCAGAGAGCGCAGCTTGGCGTCTCAGAGAGCCCTCATCCTCAGAGGCCGAAGACGTGTCTGTGTGGAATTAGAAAAAAACAAGTTCTCGATCCTGCCTAGAACAGAGACTTTTCAGTTCTTGCTCATCGATCACACATTCGATTTTGACACCAGCAAAACATTCGCATTCTTAAGGTAGATTAATACATAAAGTTTCTCAAAAATCTTGAGGAAAGTGTATGGACCACAGCCTGCAAAAATAAAATAGCCTAACTTTACAAGTAGTTTTAAGTTTGTGTTTTAAAACATCCTTTAAGAGCTAAACTGCTCTCTCTGGTTTTCTGTTCTAAGCTTAATCAAAACCTAAGTTCTTCTAGTTTATCTACTTGTATTTAAATAACATTGACATTCTTTTTTTTTTTTTAAGATTTATTTTATTTATTTGAAAGGCAAAGTTACAGAGAGAGAGGTCGAGACAGAGAGAGAGAGAGAGAGAGAGAGAGAGAGGTCTTCCATTCACTGGTTCACTTCCCAAATGGCTGCATCCAAAGCCAGGAGCTTCTTCTGGGTCTCCCTAGTGGGTACAAGAGCCCAAGGATTTGAGCCATCCTCCACTGCTGTCTCCGGTGCATTAGCAAGGAGGTGGATCAGAAGTGGAGCAGCTGGGACTCGAACTGGTGCCCATATGGGATACTGGCACTACAGCCTGGGGCTTTAACCCACTGTGCTGCTGTGCCAAAGTTCTGGTCCCAACACTGAAATTCTTATATATCTTCCTCAGTCTCCTTGTTTCGGGCTGCTTCTCTGACTCTGACAAGTTATCAGTCTCTTCTTAAAAGGGAATAATAATGATTAATAGGGAGATAAACAAAAGTCATTCTTGCTAAAAGTATGTGCCAAACAGTGAGCTAGGTGTTGGGGAACTGAAGTGGGAAAGGGAACAGCCCTTGGCCTGGAGGTGTTCAGGCTTTGTGGAAATGCAGCCGATAGATCTGGATCGTGTGACACAGTTAAGTGTCCCAAATCTTTAAGGAGAGCACCCAGCATCTGGGTTTCTTCTCTTAATTCTCAGTTGGAGGGGCCGGTGCTGTGGCATAGCGCGGAAAGCTGCTACCTGCAGTGTCGACATCCCATATGGGGGCCTGTTCGAGTCCCGGCTGCTCCACTTCCAATCCAGCTCTCTGTTGTGGCCTGGGAAAGCAGCAGAAGATGGCTCAAGTCCTTGGGCCCCTCTACCTACGTGAAGACCCAGAAGAAGCTGCTGGCTGCTGGCTTCGGATCGGTGCAGCTTCGGCCGTTGCGGCCAATTGGGGAATGAACTAGCAGATGGAAGATCTCTCTCTCTCTGCCTCTCCTTCTCTGTCTGTGTAACTCTTTCTAGTAAATAAATAAATCTTTAAAAAAAGAAATTCTCAGTTGGAGAAGAGCTGTGAGAACTTCACTGCTGTCTGTATCTGGTCTGGCTCTGACTTCAGGAAAACAGAGCTTAAATTAGAAAAGCATAATGGGGAGTGGGGAAAAAAAAGTCCAACTGAATACAGGGAGGCAAAGCTGAGGGAAACAGAAGTCAGGAATTTTTCTAGAGCTCTAAGTTATATGAGGCGTACAAGCTAAAGGGGGCAATTAGTCTGACCATCTTTCTAAATGAGTTTTGGGGATTATAATATATGACCTGTGGATTATTCACTGAAATTTTTGGAAGTTATATATCCTGCGTTAGTCCTGCACAACACTTTCCTCTAACTCAGGTGAAACTTTAGGTCCAAGTCTTGCTTTGGTTCTAAGAGCCAGAGATAACTAAGGGAATAGGACCTCATAATAGGAACGAGATCTACACAAGACAAAAGATCAATCTAGGAGGCAACTTGTGCTGGTCTGGGGCAAGGGCCAAGTCACAGCCATCACCCTACCCTTGCTTCTTGCTCTGCACTGCCTCCAGCTTATGACCTCATACTGAGGGAGATTTGCATCCCAAGGGTGATAGACTGTTCCTGACTGCTTTAAATGTACTATCCAACTGCAATTGTACCAGGACCTTTGTCATGTCCTGGGGATTCTAAGGCATATGAGCCTCTATGAGACAGTGAAGGCTTATGGTCCAGTACAGTAGACACCAAGCCCATAGACGAATGTGAGAGAATATGACAGATGCTATGGAACAGGCTACACGAGGGGCTTCACAGAGAGTACATGGACTCTAAGTAAATGGAACAAAGACTGTGAGGAGGTATAGGGTGAAAAAATGAACCTGAAGAGGAAAACACTGACTAGATTCCAAACAATTCCAAGCAATGAAGCTCCTTGAAGGATGAAGAGATCTAGAATGTAAAAAGGAAAATACAAAGTAACAGCATCTGTAACCCTTTATGTAAAGAAAGTTTTCTGTACAATTTCCAGAAAATATTTTTTTAAATATGCATTTATTTACTTGAAAGTCAGAGTTACACACAGAGAGGAGAGGCAGAGAGAGAGAGACAGACAGAGAGAGACAGAGAGAGGTATTCCATCCGCTGGTTCACTCCCCAGTTGGCAGCAATAGCCAGAGCTGCACCCATCCAAAGCCAAGAGCTTATTCCAGGTCTCCCGCGCGGGTGCAGGAGCAGAAGGACTTGGGCCATCTTCCACTGCTTTCCCGGGCCATAGCAGAGAGCTGGACTGGAAGTGGAGCAGTGGGGACTCAAACAGACCCCCATATGGGATGCCGGCACTGCAGGCGGCGGATTTATCCACTATGCCACAGCACTGCCCCCTCTAGAAAATATTCTAACATTCCAATTGCACTGTGGAAGGCAAATATTCCTCTTTGCAAATGTGCTTAGAAAAAAAAAAAAAGAAGTAGGGAGGGGAAAGATGGTGGACTCACAGGAACAGGTGAATCTGAATAAGTATTTTCAGGGTCACACATTTCAGAATCCCATAAACTTCCCTGGATTTACAGGATTCCTTCAAGATTGCGCCATCTATTTTAATTTGTGCAAGTTTAAAATCAGAATAACCCAATTTCCAAAAGATAGTAAAACCAGTCTTTTTATGATTAGGTTTATGGAAAATTGGCTTCATTATGTTTCTGTATTGGATCAATTATGTAATTATGCAAATTTCTTCAATTCAATTACCTAATTTTCCTGCCTGTTCTCCTCAGGATGTTTAAGGACTTAAACAGTGGAGTGACTTAGAGCAGTGGAAAAAACATGGCTTTAGGGTCAGTCTTCCATTTGAACTCTGGGTCCTAGCGTGGCAGCTAAGTGACCTGGCAGTACAACCACCCCTAAGAGGGGGTATCCGCTTGTTTGTCCACTCAGCAAATATGACCAAGTACCACACTAGTTGATAGGAATCAGATGACAAGCAAGAAGACATTGTTCCTACTGTCAGACTTCAGAACCTCGTGTCTTACTAGAGTTCAAGGAAGACCCCCCAAGTAAGTGGGAATTAGTTCTGAGGGGCACAGAGGCAGTGGAGAGAGCAGTATAAGGTAGAGAGGGCAGCGTGTGTGAGAGTGTAGAGGGAACAGAAAAATAAGGTTCATTGAAAAAGTTCAAAGAAACAGGTAGCTGAAGTGCAGGATGCAGAATTGACAGTGACAAAAAATGAGAGCAAGCAGACAGCAATGTTTTGCTCCGGGTCTGGTGAGACCTCAGGAGTCTTTCTTCTAACTACAGCGGAAACCACAGAAGAGGACAACGGACGGGAAGCACTGCAGCAGTCCGGGCACACAGCCACCAAGACATCAGTACCCCTTCTCCTCCTCACGATACAACGGTTAGAAGCAGGGGAAGGGGGAGAGAATGCTGGGGCCAGTGTTGTGGTGGACTGGGAAAAGCTGCTGCCTACAATGCCAGCATCCCATATGAGTTCTGGTTCCAGTCTCAGCTGCTCTACTTCTGAGCCAGCTCTCTGCCAATGCACTTGGGAAAGCAGCCAAAGATGGCCAAGTCATTGGGCCCCTGCACCCACGTGGGAGACCTGGCAGAAACTCCTGGCTCCTGAACCAGCAGATGGAAGATCTCTCTGTTTCTTCCTCTCCATGTAACTCTTTCAAATAAATAAATAAATTTTTAAAAGGGGTGGTGGTGGTGGTTTTATTCCTTTTTGATTTGCAACATCTGGAATTTTCCTTAAGAATAACTAAATGGCTAATTCCTTCCTATAAACACACACACACACACACAAAAGACAGAAATTGACTAAAAGTTGGCAGAATAAAAAAAAAAATGCTATGCCAACCATGCAACTTGAGAAAGGGGATGATTGCTATGAATAAGTAAAATGTGGAAACCATGCATAATTTTTCTTCATAATATACATTTTTATGAACCTCTTAAATACCCCCTCATATGTATGGATTTTTAAAAAAATGTTTGCATCATAATAATCTTCTAATTTCATTTCCCATGAGATTTCTAAAGTCCCATTGTAATACCCAGTCCAGTACCATGCATACGTGAGTCCTGTTAGGTAAAAAGGATTTCCTCAACAGTCATCAGCACAAGCAAGAAGACTGAATCTGACACCAAGCTGCTGTCTGACCTGGGGCAAATCACTTGGTATCTGTAAGCCTGGTGGTTTGCTCATCTCTGATGAAATCTGCCCTGGTCACAGGGCCAAGTGCTTACCAGCACCTAGTGAGGCAGGACAGCCCCAGGTACATGAAAGCCCTTCGTGTGCTATTCCATCAAGCACAGCTAAAGTGTGTTAAACAGCAATAATCCAGTCTCTTCATGGACATCATTTTCACATACAGAAGGAACAGAGGGGTACATTTCTCCTTGTCTTCTGGCCCTCTGGGTTATAAGCAGGGCCATGGTAAGCCAGACATGTAAATGTAAGCTCCATTCTACCAAAGCCAGTCAAAACAGCTGCTGTGCTGCAGGGTCACTGGGCAGTCGGTCTACTTGGTCGCCCGTGTCCCTTCAGAATGCAGAAATAGCTAAGTCCACGAGGGTGCAGAAAAGCTCAGAGGGAAAAATTACAGGCTGTAGTCTCTGCATTGTGTTTTTCCATATGAATGAGTAATAGAGTTACACAAAGAACCCCTATAAAGCGAGAGCTGAGGTAATTGCCTCATGACATTAGTAAATGAGTTCAGTGCATAAAGAGAACTGGATGGCAAAAGCTCAAGCAGGCTGAAAAAGGATCTGAAAAGGCCACAGACGCTAAAGGAGCCACAGCTCACTACCAGCTTAGAGAAGTTAACTTTTCCAATCCAGGACAGAAATTAGGGCACCTATCAATAAGCAAAATGTAGGTACACTGACATCTGATTACTTGAGAGTGATTTATGAAATGAGCAAAAAGACAAATTATTTCCCATGCCAAAATTTACCATATTTTCCAGATTGCATGATACTATGCATTTTATTCATCAGGTCCTTATTTAATCTCTCCAGAAACAGGTCTACACTTTCATCATTTCAGTAATAGAGTTGTATGTAGAGTGCCTTTCAAAGCTGCCCCGCTAGTGTGCTCCAGGAGTGAACCATGAAACCAGGCTCACACACGTGTGGAGCGAGGGCCTGCACCTGGAATGTGCTTTAGGTTATCTCAGATGTGTTTCCAGGGCTATATCTCTGCCCTCCCGGTGCTAGGCTGGAAACGGTCCTGGGAGATAACAATGCAGGATTAAACTGCAACAGGCATCAGAGACAGCCAAGTCTCTTAACTGACAGCTCTAAGAAGCTGGGCGAGAACAGAACCTGAATCCTAATGTGGGACAGCGAATTCCACTCGCTAAAATGAAAGGTGCTAACAGAAGCCTTATGACATAGTTACTCCCACACCTTTTCACTAGAGCAAAGTATTTGTCATAGGCATGTGGGTAACTCTTGAATGAGAGCATCAAGATGTATTTCACGTGGGGGCTGTGTGACAAATCACCACGAAGGCTGTGCTTAATGCTTTTTCCCGCAAGAGAATTTCCTGCCACCTGACAACACAGATGTCCCCAGCAACACATCAAGGTCTCGTGACTATTATCAGAGATCCCCAGAACAGTGGTACTACTCCATCCAGCTCAATACACGTGTCATGGAATTACTGAACACATAACGTGATCAGGAACATTAGGACACATCTCCAAGGCTGCAGACAGAGCAGGACACTGGTGTTTAGAAACACAGGGGCCTATAGTAACTCCAAAGGACTGTGGTCTCATTCAAAAACGAACAGCTGGGATTTGTTTCCAGAGCCGGTAAATTCCCCTCAGGCAGTGCCTTTTATGAAAGGGGGCAGAGGAGGTTTCCAGTCTTTCTGAGCATTCTCAAGATCCTTTGCTGCGCTCTCACACTTACCCCCGAGCCACGAGGGCAGCCTACTTACTCTGGAGAGGAATGTTTCCAGCGCTTCATGTCACACTGCCCCCTACCCTTTGTCATTTATTGCAACTGAACCCTCAGCTACACTGCAGCAGAATCTGCCAAGAAGGAATCGCCAGGAAACTGAGCCCCCTTTGTCACGCGGACCTAACTTGTGCTGCACTGATGGGGAAGGGAAACCATCCAAGATTCTCAATGAGCGGGTTTGAAACATGGACATTATAGGCACAAAATGTCTTACTGTGATGGTCAGCTAGAAGTACCCTGTGTTACATTTTGAAGAAACACTTGAAGCCACAGAGCTATTTCTCTTTCAAACACATTGACACCACAGATGTGAAGGGAAAGAAGCACACACAGTTAATGAGCCCACAGCACACCCCAATGCTTTGAGAAGTTAGCCAGAACCTAGGGGAAAACTATTCTCATGAACCTGGGTCAATGAACAACAGCTCAACAACTTGACAGCTGTGAATAACAGTCAACCCCAGCAGTGCAACCCTCCCAGGAATCTCCCTAAAAACACAGTTCAGTAGTTTAGGTCATAACAGAATGGGGAAACTTTTCCCCAAAGAGTTCGTTAGCAGTAACATGACAGTAGGGAGACAGCCATGATATTGAGGTTCTGAAATAGATTTCATAAATAGATTTCATACTATGTTTAGTCTAGGAGGTCTCATATCAAGATCTTGTCAGGAATTTGATCTAAAAAATTTGTTTACATTTTAAAAAACCCTGGCAAAGATTCTGCATAGAATCTTTGTTCAAGCTGTTCCCCAGATAGGAAGCTACAATGCCCAGGTTTACTTTAGGGGAACAAGGACTCCAGGATAAAGGGTGGATCCTTGAAAAAACAGAATTACCTACAAAATATACTAACACATACACAAAAGCATACTGATTTACAATTTTCTGATCTCTTACAACTCAGCATGCCTGTTCTCCCATAATCTCTGATGACACACAAATTCTGTCCCAAGACCACCTATCCTGTGACTGCTGCCCCCATGAAGCATCTGCCTTACGGTAGCACATCTGACTACTGGCCAGACTCGTATTTTGGGGAACAATGGAAATGGCTATGTAACCACAGCACAAGTTTGCCCTGATCCTTTTCAGCCTGCATTTACATGAGTGCAAGGAAATACTGGGATCCAGAAGGAAGTCACATGGCGTATTTCTGAATGGAGTTTATGAGTGGACAGTGACAACTGCACTCTTGCAGAATGTGCTCTAACAGACCCCTGACGGTGCAGTCTGCTCCTACCTGGGAAAGAAAAGCTAGAACTCACTTCAGGAACAACAGGGTGCACCCATCAGAGAGGAAAAATTCTGATAAACTTACCAGGAGGGGTGCAGGTGTCGGCAGGAGACTGGACAAACGTGGACCGCCGTTTGGTTGGCATGGGCAAAGCCATTTTCTGTTCTTTATGCTTTGCCAGTGCAGCCTGAACTGCTTCCGTGTGGATATCTGAAAAATTAAACATTTGCATTTGTTAGCTCCTGGCTCTGAAAAGTGTCCACCACTGTGGGCTGAACTATCACTGCCTCGATAGATAGAAAAGGGAAAAGGGCTGTTCAGGTGATTTTTATCATTTGATTTAGACAAATTGAAACAAAAACCAAAAGTAGCCACAAAAGGGATCAAGGATAATTTCTCCTAGGAGGAAAAGGCAGTCCAGAAGAGCTTTGTTAACTACTTAACATCCCAGAAAAGGAATTGACAGCCAGGCACGCAGCAGGAGAGCCCAGAGTCGGACGGGTGTTGTACCAGGCCAGGGTCCTGTCCCTAAATGGAACAGGTGCTATGTAGGGCCCAGAGGAAAAGAAGCCTGGGATTTGTTTAACTCTATGAAAGAACATTTAGTTGAAACCCCTCAGTTCTATGCCACAAAAACACAAGACTGATTTTGATACCGAAAAACATAAAGGCAGATGTTACTTGTTTGCCACTTTGGTCACCAAAGAATTCAGCTCTCTCCCTGGATGTGTGACAGGAATCTCAAAATTAACGTATCTAAACAGAATCCTTGATTATCCACCCCAACTCCAAAATTCCTTCTGTTACTACAAAATAGGATCATACTGTACACAGTCTTTTATATTCTGCTTCAAAAAAAGGGGGGTGGGGAGAACTCTTACAAAATCTTACTGAGCTGGAAAACAACTGAGGTGGCATCCTAGTTCACACCAACCTCCCGTCCACACATGGGCACGATTCACATGCAAACATCCTTCCAAGCCTCTTGTGCCAGGTATACGGGCACCTCAGAGACATGAATAATGAGATGCTTCGAGGAATTTAAACTCTGAATCAAAAAAACTGCAGGTACTAGAGTCACTTCAAGGCCAGTGTGCTAGAAAGGAGGTCTTTTCTGCACTTCCAGGCTGAGGTCCTCAGAGCTCCCTCTCCCTTTCTAGGATTTCTCAGCAGTTCTGTTCCAGTTCCAGCTACTGGAGGAAGCCGGGGACAGGTCCCATTTCTTGGAACCAAAACCACCTTCACTAACCCAACTAGAAACACCTCACCATGTAAATATAGACCTACAACACAATTTTAAATTAATTTCACTCTATGAGTGTGCCATATTTATATAAGCCATCTGTTATCAGATATAAGGTTATTTCCAATTTTTTTTTTTTTTTGCTACCTTTCATAGCAACAACAATTCGGTATTTTACCTTAGGACATGTCTAGTTTCAACAAGTGCTGAAATCACAGTATAAGTATTTATTTCTCCTAAGAACAGAGATTTGTCTTTTATATAATCACAGTACTTTTACCAAAATTCAGAACCTTAATGGTGTCACAAACTATTATCTAACCCACAATTTACATTCCAACTTGGACAACTATTTCAATAATGTCCTTTATATAGTTTTTCCATCCTTTCTTCCTGGCCTAGGATCTAATACAAGATCACACATTTATTTACTTGCCCTGTCCCTATATTCTATAATCTGGAACCATTTCTCACACTTTGTCTTTTATGGTCTTGAAATTTTTTGTACACTTATTTTGTAAAATATTCTTTAATTTTGGTTTCTTTGATATTTCCTTATAACTAGTTTAATGTTACATATTTTGGTAGGATTCTCATCATTAAAACATGATGTCAGAAAGCACATGCCTCATTACAGGTGGCCTAACAATGATTACAAAGTTCATAATTTTAGTTAAAATGGTATCTGCTAAATTAATCCACTGTAAAATGACTATTCAGGACCAGCACTGTAGTGTAGCCAGTAAAGCTGCTGCCTGCAGTGCTGACATCCCATATGGGCACTGATTCGAGTCCCAGCTGCTCCATTTCTGATCCAGCTCTCTGCTATGGCCTGGGAAAGCAGTGGATGATGGCCCAAGTCCTTGAGCCCCTGCACCTGGGTGGGAGACCTGGAGGAAGCTCCTGGATCCTGGCTTCAGATCAGCACAGCTCCGGCTGTTGTGGCCAGTTGGGGAGTGAACCAGGGGATGGAAGACCTTTCTTTTTCTCAGCCTCTCTTCCTCTATCTGTGTAACTCTGACTTTCAAATAAATACATCTTTTAAAAAAATCACTATTCACCCCTTTGTGATTAGTAATTTATGAGGTAATACTTTTGAGACTATATAAATGTTATAGACCCCACCAACCATCCATCTATTAATTTTATCATCCATTGTTGGACTTCTGGCTGAATCAATTATTATAATGGCTATGGTGACTTTGATTCTTTTTTTAGACAGGTAGAGTTGGACAGTGAGAGTGTGTGTGTGTGTGTGTGTGTGAGAGAGAGAGAGAGAGAGAGAGAGAGAGAGAGAGAGAGAGAGAGAAAGGTCTTCCTTTTCCGTTGGTTCACTCCGCAAACGGCCACTACAGCCAGCACGCTGTGCCAATCCAAAGCCAGGAGCCAGGTGCTTTCTCCTGGTCTCCCATGCGGGTACAGGGGTCAAGCACTGGGCCATCCTCCACTGCCTTCCCAGGCCACATCAGAGAGCTGGACTGGAAGAGGAGCAGCCGGGACAGAATCTGGCGCCCCAACCGGGACTAGAACCTGGTGTGCCGGCGCCTCAGGTGGAGGATTAGCCAAGTGAGCCGCGGCGCCGGCCAGTGACTTTGATTCTTTTCTTTCTTCTTTTTTTTTGACAGGCAGAGTGGATAGTGAGAGAGAGAGAGACAGAGAGAAAGGTCTTCCTTTGCTGTTGGTTCACCCTCCAATGGCCGCCGCGGCCGGCGTGCTGCAGCCGGCGCACCACACTGATCCGAAGCCAGAAGCCAGGTGCTTCTCCTGGTCTCCCATGGAGTGCAGGGCCCAAGGACTTGGGCCATCCTCCACTGCCTTCCCGGGCCACAGCAGAGAGCTGGCCTGGAAGAGGGGCAACCGGGACAGAATCCGGCACCCCGACCGGGACTAGAACCCGGTGTGCAGGTGCCGGAAGGCGGAGGATTAGCCTAGTGAGCCGCGGCGCCGGCTGATTCTTTTCATGGTTATTGGTTGGCATTTACTATAAGAAGAAGCCGTGGCGTAGTGGTTAAAGCCACTGCCTGCAGTGCCAGCATCCCACATATGGGCGTCGGTTTGAGTCCCCGCTGCTCCACTTCTGATCCAGCTCTCTGCTATGGCCTGGAAAAGCAGTAGAAGACGACCCAAGACCTTGGGCCCCTGCACCCACGTGGGAGACCCGGAAGAGGCTCCTGGTTCCTGGCTTCAGATCAGCACAGCTCTGGCCATTGTGGCCATTTGGGGAATGAACCAGCAGATGGAAGACCTCTCTCTGTAACTCAGCCTTTAAAATAAATAAATAATCTTTAAAAAAAAAAAAAAAGAAAAAAGAAAAAGTGTGGGGGCCGACGCTGTGGCATGGCAGGCTAAGTCTTTGCTTGTGGCACCAGCAGCTCATATGGGCATTGGTTTGTGTTCTGCTGCTCACTTCTGATCCAATTCCCTGCTAATGTGCCTGGGAAATCACAGAAAATGGCCCAAGAGCTCGGGCCTCTGCACCCACATGCAGAAATCACAGTGTGTGTATGTATTTTTTTCCAGAAATATTTCATGTGAGAGACCTGGAAGAGGCTCCTGGCTTCAGATCGATCCAGCTCCAGCTGTTGTGGCCATCTGGGGAGTGAACTAGCGGATGGAAGATCATTTTGTCTCTCCCTCTCTGTAACTCTACCTCTCAAAGCAATAAGTAAAATCTTTTTAAAAAAATGACCAAATGATGCTCATTTCTTTTCATTACTATTCTGTTCCTTTCATTATGTATTTTACTGTTCATATTTCCCCAAGTCTGGCCCAGAGGAAGCCCTCCAAATTGGTTCTTACATCCTCTGACACCGTCCTATCATTTCGAGCAGCTATTTGCTTATGGCATAGGATGTTCCAGGCTTATCTGGTATCGTCCCTGCTCTAGTGCTCTAAGTAAACATTTCTCTAAGGATCTCTGGCTCCATTTAACAGAGAATGAATGGTAGTTAGAAGGTAAGACCTTAGAACTAAGGATGTTCACTGCTGCTGAGGTATCTTTTTCTTTTGAACCCTTTCAATGTATAAAGGAATAAAAACACACACATAAATAGATCTATTTCTGTCTATATATCAAAAACTATGAGTTCACACTAATACCTCCAATTCCAGCTTAGCATCATTCTAATTTAAGCCCTTTTCATTTGTAATTCCATTCTTTAACAGGAGGAAATCTGGTTTACAATATTCTCAACATATTTACTCACTCAATACTATAATACACAGAAAGTAGCTTCAAAATTGCTTTCTCATATTACTATGGAAAATAAGTCTTATAACTAGACTTCAATATTTATTTGTAGTCTTTTTCATCTTTAGAGTGAGCATATATAATTCAAGTGCAATTAAATAAAGATTATAGGAGGTCACTCTTTTGGACTAAGTTCCTGTTTAGGTCCCAGAGACCAACACCAAAATAAAAAAGTTATCCTGAAGTCCACATGAGTTGTTATATGACCTGAGAAATCAAGAGAATGAGGTAACAGCCAAGTTTCTCAAACAGGCCAAAGCACAAGCACAGGACAATGACGTTCCCTCTGCTTGAATTCTTACAAAAAGCAACTGGACGTTAACCTATCAGTTACTTTTCTGCTGCTCCCCCTCTCCTCACCTTACAAGAAAAGTACTTTGAAATGACTTATCTGCTTTTTTGTTCTATTTTTCTGCTTTCTTCAGCCATTTTCTAAGTATGAAACCAACTTCTTCTCAGCCTTACCCCATTTTATAGAATGAAGCTTTGACTGATTCTAGAATCACAAAATAAAGGCCAATTAAGAACTTTAAATAGTTGCAATTTTGCATTTTTAAAATTGTAATTTTTAACATTTACTTTCCATCTACTAGAAAGACAGAGCAATGCGCTAATGCGCTAGGAGGAGAGAGGAGGAGAGAGGAGGAGGAAGGAAAAAAGAGAGAGAGAGAGAGAGAGAGAGAGAGAGAGAGAGAGAGAGAGAGAGAGAGAGAATGA